AGGTAGAGGGTTAGTGAATGAGGTTGTTATGTAAGAGTAAGGAGAGGAGGTAAAAAGAGCAATTTGTATGGATGTGTAGAAAATATAACTTAACCCTAGATTTAAAATAGTTAAGATTGTAATGATGAAAAAGTATCCCCCTGGGAGTCTGTTTTCCAAAGTAAAGGTTCATAGGAAAAAGCCGTCTGAATGGAACTTGCTTCTTACTATTGGTAATATTACCCATTTCCCTCTGAGGAATCATTTGGTATTCATTGACTGAGCAGCCAATACTGTTTTTGATTGAAAGTTATAAAATCTTTCTCTTAAAACACTTTAGGAAAACAAAAATCAGTTTCATGAAGTCCAGTAGCTGTTATTGCTCTTTCCAGTATTGATAGGGATTTCCTTCCAAACCTTCTATTTGAAGTGGCGTAGAATGCTAATATCTTGATTATGTCATTTTCTCTTTGTTACGTGTGCTATCTGTTGTAGTTGTCGCTGCTGTTGGTAGTCCACAAATGACATGGTTTCTGTTATTTGGTTCAGTTATTTGTGATTCTGTAGCACCATTCCACAATATTCAGGATGATTTTTGCCACACTTTACTTGTTTATGGAATACAAAAAAGAATGGGGATGATTCGTCACTGTATATATGTGGTGTGGCGAATCTCAGCTGTGAAGGTCAGAACTGGTGGAATTAAGGAATGTAGCTTTATATTTAATTTTTCTTTAAGTAATTCACCCCAAGCAAAGTGACAATGCTGCCAAGGCACAAGGGGCCCACTGATAGTGAAAGAGAATGAAAAGACTTTAGAAGTAACCAGAAACTCAACCCTAAACTGGAAACAAGTGACAACCCCCGACCCCTGTTCAAAAGGGAGGAGGAGGAATGTGAACTGGGTGGTAGGCAAACCTATCTACTCATCATCAGAACATTGTTTCCATCCAATATTTATCCAAACATCACCTTTTGTGGTGAACAGTCTCGTAGAAGCAAGCAAGCCAGAGTGGCTTGCATCTGATGCATAGGAAAATAAGGATTTTACCTCAACGTGCGGCACTTGTCATCGGCAAGTTTGCTCCTTGAAAATGGCATTACTCTCCTATCTAGCCATTCCAGCAGTATGTGTGGTAATAAGGTTTTTGTATAGTTTGGCATGCTTTGACCAATAGCAAGTCATGTGCTGATTGGTCGAACTGGAGGAGGCTATTTACCTGGGTAACTGAGAATAAAAGCAAAGAACGCTGATTGGTTTGTCAACCATGGTGTTGGCCTGATAAAAGAGGGCTGAAGTAGTGAGTGAGAAAAGATGGATTTATGTTTTGAAGTGTGCAGAAAGCAAGTATCTTGAATTGTACAAGCGACGTCCTAGTAATACAGACTTATTTAAGCTACACATTTCAAATACATTATCGTCATACACGGAAACACCTGAATGATAAAAATGTTGCTGAAATTAATTTTATAGTAATAAAACAGTAGCATGAACTAAATATATTAGATACTGATTTTTAAGCTCCGAGATCTCTGACCATAGAAGGCAGAAAAGAAAGCTTGATTTTCTTGGCCACAAACCAAAATGAACTACAAATAAATATAATGCAACTTAAAAATTTGAATCTCTCCTCTCATATCTTGATGATACCTCAAACAGCCAGTCATAAAAAATCCTGCTTTTCCATTGCAACCAAGCCTATGCTCCATTCATTCAGTTCATCAGGATTAATTCAGTACTCTTCAGTAAAAAGAACATTAAAATCGATTTTCAAATTCTTTCTCATACACTCCAGACATATCATCATCATGTTCAAGCTTCAAAGGTAGCTAAATATCAAATTTGAGACATTTTGCAACAGAGCAAAGAATTTGCCATGTTAATTCAATTAACCTCCTCAAATATATCTTTGTTGTTGAGGGCTGATATTTATTTGTGAAACTTCGATTAATTCAATGGACTTCCTACTGTTATTATTCAAGACTAACCAATATGTGTTCTATGCAATGCACTAGGGGGTTTCAATATATTTCTTCACTGAAATGCTGAAGCATTGGCTCAAACTATTAACTTTATTCTAGCTAAAGTAAATCAAGTTTTACCTTCAGCTATAAACCCACCACCAACTTGGATGAAATCTGACACCATCAATACATAAGAAAAATTACTAAAAAATTCACATAAAAATCTGACCAATATAAAAAGAAAAAAAATGGCTACAAGACTAGTTCAGAGAGACAAGCATAGTAAGTTAAACAAAGAATTTGGTGGATTGTCCAACTTTTCTTCAGGAACTTAATTCTTCCTTGCAACAAAAGCAAGCTAAGCTAAAGATAAAAATGGGGAATATTATCAAAAAAAAAAAAAAAAAAAAAAAAAAAAAAAGAGGAAGAAAAAATGAAAGAGAAAACAGACAGTTGGGCACGATTCTATAGAGAAGTATACCATGATGAAAATAATTCAAGTCAACAGATGTCAATTCCTGAAAATGAAGTAAAAATGCCATGTGTCACTATCTATGAAAATGGATATGGTAAAAGAAACTGAAAAAAAAAAAAAAAAATAATGTAAGACTCTGCAGTGAACAAATTCATACTGAATTCTTGCAGCATAGTGGTGATACCATAAAGTTCTGTTGTCTTTTTTCAATACAATATGGAGAATAAAAATAAAAGCTTAAAAATAAGCTATAATTGTGATAATTTATAAAAAAACAATGATAGATTTGTTTGCAATAAACTTAAACATATCTACAAATACTTTGTCAATTATCTATAAATGCAGACCTTTGGGCTTTACTAGTATCCCAAGTGACCTATTAGTCAGGTAGAAGCACCACTGAAATGGTTGGTTGGTTGATTTTGTTTAGCGACATATCAACCTCAATAGGTTATTTAATGTCAAAGTCTAAATATTTTGAATGTAATTGTATGCCTTCAACTACAGACAAAATATATAACCTTTAGCAACCTTACTAAAAAAAAAAAAAAAAATCATTATACTTTCATAGTATTTTGCTTCTGTTTGGGGCTTCACTATTTGCCCGTACCTGAAACCTCCTAACAGGTGCTATCTGTTGTAGTTGTCACTGCAGAGTGGACCTGGGAACAACAATAATTAAGTAGTTCCAGGCACTTGAAAACCTCCAACCACCTAATAAGAGGCCTTGCTGCCAGATGTAGTTTATCATCATACCCAGGACTTAACCACCAAAATAAATCTTTATATTACAAAAAATTAAATCAAAAATCTATTGAATTCAACAAACCACTTCATATTGTATTCATAGATATTACTAATATATACTCATATATAAGCCGACTTCACATATAGTGCAAATCTTGAATTTTTTTTGTGTAGTTCAACTGGTGCATGACTTAATTGCTAAAAAAAAAAAAAAAAAAAAAAAAAATACAAATACATGTGCATAGTGTGACTCCCTATTTTTGTGTAAAAACTGCTCATAAAAACTTGCACTATACTCAACTGTTTTATGATTTTTACATATTTGATACCATCAGCTTGGGAATTACTGCTAATATACATTTTCTGTAGCCTTGGTCATTTTATTTCCATAATTATTACATATATTTATGTATATTAGAGTATCAATCAATATCCCAAATTATTCATACTGCATTTTTGGAGTTTTCTTTTTGTAAATAGTCTAAGTCATTTTAATCACTCTATTGTAAACATTTTGTTAAGTGTAGTTAAGAAAAAATAAGAATAAAAAGGAAAGTTATAAAAAGAGAAAGACGAAACAAATAAGATATAATAAAGAAGTTAAAAGGGGAGGAAAAGAAAGAAAAGTCGTAAGACGAGCCAATATAATAAATCGTTTTTATTTTATTAATGTATATATATATATATATATATATATATATAGGTTTGTTTTCCTCTCTTCTTCCAAAAAACACCCCGTCTTGGCCACATGTAGGAAGATCAGTACAACCAAGCATACCCGTTCTATAACATCGAATAGCCCAAGTGAAGTCTTGATTAGTTGCCGTTTTCTGGGGGAACTTATATAATGCACATCCTAAAGCTAGTAGCAAATTTTATTCTGGGTGCGGGCCAAATACTGATCATATTCAGTTGGGTCACCCATCGAAGAAGTCTATTTATTTAAACCCAAAACTTCTAGTGACATGGGAGTAACAACACTGATGACGCACCTAGATTCAGCACTTAAAGGTGTATTTTTTAATATAAACCGATTTCATGTATAGTGCACCCCTGTTTTTTGCAAGAATTTTAACCCTTCCAGAAAAAAATTTACCTATAGTTTATAGTGCAATCAATCACCGAAAATGAATGATTTTTAACCTTCTTAAAAAAAAAAAAAAAAAAAAAAAAATACCCTCTACCTTTTATGTAAGAAAAATAAAAAAATGGATCGTAAGAACTCACACTATACTCAAGTATATATGTTACCTATCTTTATTAAAGCTTTGGATAGTATTAAACAAGAAAGCCTTTAGAATTGTTAGCAACCGCTCACATCCAAGCCTTGTGATTGTCATCCTCTCTCCCTAATCCCTATCTCTCCCCTTGTGGCTGTTAATCAAAAGGGTGTTTGACAAGCCCATTCTTGTGAATTTGCTTTTGGTGGACAACTATGCAACGGAGAAGCCCACACACCAGGTGATTGAGACAAGCGAAATATGGCAAAACAATATTTGGAATATTGCTGGTAAAAAATATCTAATGAAATAAAAAACAAAAAAATTAATCACTTCTGACCAAGAATTCTATTTATTGAAATCCTTGCATCTTGAATCTTCAGCAACAGTAAAAACACGTTAGAGCCATGCACTTTACACAAATAAAATATTCCAGAGCCACATTATGAAGTTAATTACTGGCCGCAAACAGCTGGGGGGGAAAAGTGGTGTATTCCTTCCTTTCCATGGGTATTTGTTCGTAAGTCAATACAACGAACCCAACTGGAATTGGAACTCTACTCTCCAATTAGCAATTCAGAGCCATTATCCATTACACCATTCACACATCCAAGCTTACAACACCTGGTATTCCCAAGTGTTAACCCATCTAGATACTGACCAGGCTCAACCTTGCTTAACTTTGGTGATTATATGGGAACCAGTGTTTCAATGTGATGTGGCCATCACCCTACATATTAAACAAGTAAAAAATAAGACTCAAAATGACATATCTAGGAAAACATTCCTGACAAAAATTCAGGAGAAAGAATGTACTGAATTTGTAAAAGGCTAACATCTGGACCCATATAAATAAAGTCACACAGGATTAAAACATTTGGAAAGAAATAAGTCACATGAAATTGCAAAGTGCTTCAGGCAAAAATAACAATGAGAAATTTGATAAATTAAATTCAATAATTATTCAGTGGTGACTAGAATTTTTTTTTTGTTTAGATATTCAGGAAATATTAAACAAGAAAATAGCAACAAAGTTTGTTTTGTTCTATTTAAATACAATGTAATTGTAAAATACTAGAATAATTTTATTTTTATTTAAATACAATGTAATTGTAAAATACTAGAATAATTTTATTTTTATTTAAATACAATGTAATTGTAAAATACTAGAATAATTTTATTTTTATGGCAAATGTAAACAAAATTATGCTATTGTATACTGGCAAAGAAACAAAGTGTACTAGACTTATGTAATATCTCAGTCCTCCCCCTGGCAGTGTATGATAGACTATCTTGACAAACTTGAAGCAAATGAAATGTCATTCTACAGGAAAGGCTACAAACATTGGATACTACAAGTACTATGAACTGAACATGTGAGTAATGAGGAAGTTTTAAGGAAAATGAAACAAAAAGAATGCTTATACTTCAAATCAGAAAGAGAGGGAGTTAAAACTTCTGGGACACACAATCAGGAAAGAGGGTTTAGAGAATATAACACTCACAGGCCATACTGAAGTAAAGATAGAGCTAAGGGAAAAGTGAGTAATCTACCAAACGAACTTGTGTGAAATGATGGCAAAATGGAAAGTGAGAGGGAAGGTGAAAAGACAAACCATACTTAGAGCTACAAAGATCAGGAAGTTGTGGAGAACTATGATCACCCAACTCCTGAATATGATAGAAAAAAAAAAAAAAAGGTCACAAGCTAAGACAGAAGAAAGTGGGGGTCAACCTTGATAGGTGCCAGTCATATATCAGTGAGAAAGAGATAATTCACTTTCAAGAATCATTAAGGTTTTAATTTTACTTATATTAATATCTGGACTGTCTGATAGAACCACGTCTCCTCAATGACATTTTTCTGCAATTTAAACCATACACTTTGAGGTCATGTATAATAGATGAATGCAATCCAGATTGATTGCAAGTGCTGACATAATTTCCAACCAAATGTAACAATATACAGCAAGATCTTGTTCATAAGTTTATATAGAGAGGCAGAAACTATTTCAACTGCAGGTGGATCTGGTCTACTTATTAAATCACAAGTTTTTATTAGCTGAAGTCTATCAGTTCAATCCTTGTGCTGGGTAGTAAATATACATTTGAACTATTTAACTTAACAGAAGTAGTGACAACAAAGAGGACATCACAGAGTGGATGACTGATCAAATTTGACCAATCATGTCTGTACTTGACTAATAAAAGTTTTGAAATGACAAGGAGGAAGAACTTTCAGCTTTCTCTGGATCATCATTTCTCCATATCTATCTCTCACTCTCTCACTCTTTCCCCAGTGAGAAGCAAACATTTACTTGAAATAGTTGCATTGGTAAAACACAGAACAGTAAAAAGCACAAACACAATTTGGGATCTTGTTATCAATCAATAATGTGTACACTACTGTTTGAAAAGAACACATGAATCCAGGAATTGCTGACAGAGTAGTAAAAGCCAAGAAAAAACTCATCTGTATGAAAATTTAACGATTAAAAACACAAAGAGAATTTTTTTTTATTCCGTCTCATTGTCAGTCATCTTGTGACAAGTGGATATGGTAAGAGAAAGGATATTAGTGAAAAGATGCTTTCATTATAAAACACACATCAATATATTTCCCTTAAAAAAAAAAAAAAAAAAAAAACAGTCATCTGTACAAGCACTTGGTAACATTAATCTGCCTGTTTATGTAACTAGGTAGGATTTAAAGATTATCTGATCATACATAATTTAATTATGACATGGAAAACTGACATACATAGGTTTGTTTGTTTAGCAGCATATCAACTCCTTAGAGGTCATTCAATGTTGAAATTTTTCTTGGGAGCATTAATTTCTTTTGCAAAAATGTATAAAAAGTTTAGGGGTTAACTATTTTCCTATAGCTGGGACTGTAACAGGTGCTACCACCCTGGGTCAGGATGGACCTGGTGTTGCATTCTGTGTTGTCTCTGGATCCCAACTCTACTACGTAAAACGGTATCAACAAAAAAGGTCATTTATTACTGGCATTCATTTTATTAAGAGTGACAACTTGAATTCTAAGAGGTAGTAGGAGAAATAATGTCACAGGAATGCATGTTACACGTTAGCTCAGTGTCCCTCCGTGGGTGTTACCAGTTACAAACCTGGGTGTGGTAGTATGACATGGTCCTCAATGTTAACTGTTAAATCAGGCATACAAACAATTTAATAAGAGATGTGCTGTCTTTATGTTTCTCCTTTTCCTCTTTCTTTTTGGTTTACTACCTGTCTGGACGGAGTTGTGTTTTGGCTAAGAAAAGTCAGGAGAGGAATTTGGGGTCACTTGACAACAAACAGAATGATGATCTAAGAAATAGTAGGAAAGGAATTTGAGGTGCTTAACAACAAACAGAGTGACCTCTTAAGAAAGTGAGTAGGAATTGGTCAACTATGCTCACTTGACATACTTCAAGTGGGATTTTGGTATCATAACTCGAGTTTCCCCAGTGACCTCCAATGACAACAGTTTACGAGAGAAATTGACTCTCATCATGCTATCATAAGGGATGAAGAATACACCCACAAGCCTATTCCATTACTTGTGTCAGGAATAAAATTTCATCACAGAGATTTTGGATGTATTTAACAATTAAATGGTTAAATAATAAAGGAATATTGTATAAAATTCAGAGAAAACAATCCAAGTGAGTCTGGTGAAATGGAATGCAAACATTATTCCTGAATTCTGTATTTCATATTGTGGGGGAAAAAAAAAAAAGAACAGTCAACTTTTGTGAACATTCTACGGCAACTTAGTTTGCCATTATGAATCTTCAAACTCCAAATTCCTGAAACACAAATTTCTCCTTTTATTAATTGTAGATCTGTCACTCCATACTTTTTCCATATTTTGTTATATAAAATTTATTTAAAAATTTTAATCTTGTGTTTGTGCGTTCCTATCTGAGCAAACCCACCTATTTTATTCATTTTTGTTTTGTTTTTTGGGGTTTTTTTTTTTGAGCCTGGTCTTCATATCTTTGTTCCTTGTGAATTCATAACATATAAAATTTGGGGGCTCATCTCTAGGATTCGCTCAGATGGAATTATACGTATATCAGTGTGCCAGCAGATGTCTGTAATTGAATGTTTCTTAAACTCACCCTCCCTGAAAAATGTTATTTAGATTAAAAAAAAAAAAAAAAAAAAAGACATATTAGAAATTAGTAAGATTTTGAATTAAATGTAAGGAAGTCTATATGCAAATCAGAACTAATTAGGGCGATTACAGAACATATGGTAGATAACGATATCTTTGATGAAGGCACATTAAATAAATTACCGGTATCAATACAGAAGATATCCCAAGTTTAATTTGAACTTGAGAAACTTAAAATTGAAGTTGAGAGGGAAAAAGCAAGAATCGAAGCTGAGAAAAAGAAGCCAAAATAGAAAGAGCTAGAATCGAGCATTGACACGGTTCGGTGAAATAGAAGTAAAATAATTAAGTAGAAAAGATGGAATGAATTTGACTCATCAAAGCAAGTTAAGCTCGTACCGAACTTTAAGGAAGCAGATGGATAGGATTTGCATTTCAAAAAAGTTGCTTTTGAATTTGGAATGGCCCAAGTTATCACAGACTCTGCTAAAAGGTAAAGCTAAGAAAGCATATGCCACCTTGTCAGTAGAAGACTGTGCTGATTATAATACTGTGAAGTCAGCCATCCTTAAAACATGAATTAGTGCCAGAGACTTATCGTCAAATATTCAGAAAGTTACGGAAATTGACTGACAAACTTACATCGAGTTTTCAAGTGAAAAGGAAGCTTATTTTGACAGATGGAGCCAGTTGAAGAATACCTTGGAAGACCATTATAGACTAAGGCAACTGATTCTAATTGAAGATCTTAAAGAATGTGTTCCTAAAAATGTAAAAATATACCTTGAGGAAAGAAAAAAAGTAAATACTGTATACGAAATGGCTACTCTTGCAGATGAATATATATATATATATATATATATATATATATAAAAACACAACACATCAAAATACAGCAATCCCTTCAGATCTGGAAGTGATTCTAGACCAAGACCTGGGGCTAGTTCGGATCAGAATTTTCAGTCGGAGCAATCATGTAGTCCAAATCAGTCATTTACCTTGTATATGTTATGGTAATTTACCCACGTACACATGGACTCTTCCAGCTATAAATAGGAGCAGGTATTGCCTTTTGGGGAGGGAAGTTTCCAGCAGTCAGCTCTGACAGTCGGATGGAACATTCTTGCTGTAACACTTGTTTGTATATGTTTGTATTACCATTTCTGTTAATATATTTGTTTAAATCAATTACTCTCTTTGTGAATTGATTGCTGCTCCCTAACAAGGCCACAACATTATACAAGTGCAAGCACAAACACAAGTGTTACAAATCCAAAAGGAAATAATTACCAGTCATCAAGATCTCAGCAAGTAAATAAATGGGATTAGAGATTCCCCATGTGCTAATATTGTAATAAAGTCTGGTACATTGTGTCAAATTGTTGGACCAAACAAAATAGGGAGTTCACGGCATTAAGCCAAAATAAACCCCAGGGGGTTAATTTCTTCTAACCAAAGTGTGTTGGATAGAATATCCGTTGTTGAAGATGCGAGGGAAGAATACAAGCCATTTATGTCTGTTTTGCTTATGGGCAACACCACTAGAAAGATACTCATCAAAATTTTATGAGACAAGTGCTACACAGCCCCTAATGTTGAG